TGTGTCTCAACACACTGGACCCAAGCACAAAGATATATACAAGGAAGAAGCATCATATGTCCAACTTTTCCTGCTCAAATTGTATAACTCGGACAGAACTCCAAACTGTAGTATATATCTCAAGTAAAGCTTAGGAGGAGATGGAATGTTATGAATACGGATAAAGAGCTCTCATTTAAGTGAAGGAAATTTGAAGAGTTATATGTCTACGATTACCTTTATTATTGTTTTGTTACTTTTATAATCATCATCAAAACCATCACATCGCCATCATCATTATCATCATCATCATCATTATAATTGATATTGTCTTTATTATTGTTATTATTGTTATTGTTATCATCATCATCATCATCATCATCATCATCATCATCATCATCATCATCATCATCATCATCATCATAATAATGATTATTATGATGATGATGATGATGATAATAATAATAATAATAATAATAATAATAATAATAATAATAATGATTATTATTATTATTATTATTATTATTATTATCATCATCATCATCATCATCATCATCATCATCATCATCATCATCATCATCATCATCATCATCATCATCATCATCATCATCATCATCATTACTGTTGTTGTTGCTGTTGTTTTTGTTATTTCGACATTTGGCTCACCAGGACCTTTTCCAAGATGACTTCTGCAACAATTCTTGATCATCCCAAGAGCCCCGATAATTGATAGGGCTTTAGCTACCACATCTCTCCATTAGCTCAAATTTTCATACTATTTGACTGCCATGTTCATCAGGGACGCTCGTATTAATCAGGAGGCAAGTTCTGCTCTTTAAGTCTTTGCTAATGATGTCTGGCGATTTGCCTCGATGCTCCGGTCAGTTCGAATAGGAAAGTCTCGGAGATTAGTAAAATTTTCATCTTTTACTACAAGCGTGGTGTTCATAACAGTTGGTGGGAGTTTGGATTGCATAGTGATTGCATAGTTGCAAATATGGACCCTATTGTATCGTAGCGGATTTTGAACTCATTTGATGTTAAAGCTGAGCAACTTAAAATAAGGTGATCAATTTGTCACAGGATTTACATTTAGTATCAGCACCGCTTTTAAGACATTTGCTCGGTAAATATTTTAGTGACTTGCCTCAGTATAGCACATGGCTCTTCAATAACTATTGCTTCCCATCCCTGTTACTCAGTTTCATTGATTCTCTCGTCTTCATGTTTTATCCCTTTCTTATTTCTCTACTGAATTTGTTTGCGTCAGTTTAAGTTCTGTTATTACTGTTATTATAATTATTAATTTCATTATTATTATCACTAATTTTATTCTGTTATTATTAATATCATTTTATTAATAATATCATTATTATTATGAATATCATTGTTATTATTATTAATATATTCAATATTATTATCAAAATTACTTTTATTATTAGATTTATCATTATTAATATTCTCTTCTTATTATCATTATTGTTATCATTGTTATCATTATTATTGCTGTAATTATTATTATTATATGATAATGATAATAATAATGATGATAATAATGACAACAATTATTATTTTCTCCAATATCATTGTTACTATTATTACTATCATTATTATTATTTATTGCTATTATTATTATTATTGTTATTATTATTATTATTATTATTATTATTATTATTATTATTGTTATCATTATTATTATTATTATTATTATTGTTATCATTATTATTATTATTATTATTATTATTAATTATTTTTTATTATCATTATTAGTTATTGTTGTTTTTATTATTATTATTATTATTATTATTATTATTATTATTATTATTATTATTATTAATTATTATAATTATCCTTATTAATTATTATTATTATTATTATTATTATTACTATAAGGATTTAATAATAATAATTATGATGACGATGACGATGACAACGACGACGACGATGACGATGATGATGATAATCATAATAATTATGACCCTAATACTACTATTAATGAGAATAATAACATTAATAATGATAATGATAATAATGATAATGATAATAATAATAATGATAATAATAATAATAATGATGATAATAATAATGATGATAATAATAAAAATAATAATAATAAAAAAAAAAATAATAATGATAATAATAATAATGATAATAATAATAATAATAGTAATGATAATAATAGTAATAATAATAATAATAATAATAATAATAATAGTAATAATAATAATGATAATAATAATAATGATAATGATAATTATTGTCATTAACATCATTATTATTGTTATCATTATGAACATTACTGTTATCATCATTATTACTATGTTTTTTTTTTAATATCCTCACTGCGTATACTTATCACTATTATTATTATTATTATTATCATTGGTGCTCTTACTTTTATTGTTATCATTCTTCTTCGTATTATAATTATCATTAACATTATCATTATTATTATTATTATTATTATTGTTATCATTATTATTATTATTATTATTATTATTGTTATCATTATTATTATTATTATTATTGTTATCATTATTATTATTATTATTGTTATCATTATTATTATTATTGTTATCATTATTATTATTATTGTTATCATTATTATTATTATTATTGTTATCATTATTATTATTATTGTTATCATTATTATTATTATTGTTATCATTATTATTATTATTGTTATCATTATTATTATTATTATTGTTATCATTATTATTATTATTATTATTATTGTTATCATTATTATTATTATTATTGTTATCATTATTATTATTATTATTGTTATCATTATTATTATTATTGTTATCATTATTATTATTATTATTGTTATCATTATTATTATTATTGTTATCATTATTATTATTATTGTTATCATTATTATTATTATTGTTATTATTATTATTATCATTAATATTATTATTATTATTATTATTATTATTAGTAATATCATCGTAATTATTGTTATCACCATTATTTTTATCAATATTATTATTATAACTTTTTATTACTACTCTGATCTTTATCATTTATTTTGTTATTATTACTACTCTCTTCATTTTGTTTTTCCCATCCGCCCAGGGAAACGAGAAAACGGACACCGAAGAAGCGGCGCTGCGTTGGCGGTCGTGGAGTCCCAAGCAGCGCACCTACTCCTGCAGCGCCCCCGCCCAGAGCACGCGGCTGGCGAACGCGCGGACGTCGACGCCCTGGAACCCCTTCAGAGAGCACGAGTGGCAGATCAAGACCATGATGGTGCTGGAGCTCGCCAAGGAGCTGTGTAAGGGCGACAGCGGACGCTACTGCGAGATCCTCAACCACTTCCTGGAGAGCCACGGGATGACGCCCCTCGCGTGGGACTCGGTGTTCGGGACGGAGGGGAAGCGGACCTTAGAGCGCGCGGACTCGACGGGGGGCGCCTCCTCGACCTCTTAAGGCGGCTGGACGGCCTTGCCACAAAGCATCTACGCGTGAACTGCTGCTTCTGCGACCACAAGGACCGCAAAGGAAGGCCTAACACTTCAGCTGCATCGCGCTCCTCATGAAAAAGTGTTAGGCTGTATTCAGTGCTCTGTCATGGCAACGCAGTTCGCATTAGCAAGACAAACATGACCCTGTTATTGTATTGTTGCTTGTTCATGATTATATAAGTTTCTCTTGGTTTCTTATTTTGATGTCTAGTATATAATATATATTCTTGTGGGAAATGATTTTGGTGTTATAGTTTATTATTTTTTTTTAGTTGAGAAATTCCTACGAGCAACCTAGCTGATTATTGACTAATGAAGATGATGTAACCATCTCAAAACAATTTGTTAATAAAGATCTTAGCTCAGCTCATGTTTTTCATTCTGCTTTTTTATTTTGTATGTAGGAATAAATGGATTTCACTACCTTTCCTTTAACCCTTGGAAAACGGCCACAGATGTTCCTGAACACCGTGCAGATACATTTTCAATTTTATCTTCTCTCATTTTTTTTCTTTAACAAAACGTGTTTAGATGACATACATGTAACGAAACAAGTTTGCTAGTAGATAGGGTGATGGGTTTTCCCAAAGATGATATCTGTCAACCTCCACATCCGGTACTTGAGCTCAGAGAAGGTCAAGGTTGAAGCAAATGTGAATCAGAAGGCCTGAGATTTACATACAGACTTTGTTGGTCGTCGGAATTTTAGTACCAAACACAATTTTTACTCGAATGTGGTCATACCCATTTCTAATTGTGCTGCGGAAAAGAAAAAGTGTTCTCCATTTCTCTACTTAACGCTTCGTTCTATCTAGAGAGAATGCAGTCTAGTGTGGTTCGCAGTGGATTTTTATTCTTCAGATTTAGTATAAACGAGGTAAGTTTAGGTTATTAATTTGGTAGAACTATTACGAGCATTATTACAGTGACACTATTACTTTATTAGCACGTGCCGATACTAGACAACACTATTACTTTATTAGCACGTGCTGATACTAGACAACACTATTACTTTATTAGCACGTGCTGATACTAGACAACACTATTACTTTATTAGCACGTGCTGATACTAGACAACAGTATCAGTAAGAGCTAATAAGGAATAGTGTATGATCAGCGTACATTCGAAAATAAAGGACTTGTCACTGTAACAATACTCTTAATGACTCGGCAGATGATTTTAAATAATCAAAATCATTGTGTAGTATTTGTCACAACTAGTGCAGGCCTACAATTATTGGTCAAAAACGTAGTTCCATCAGATTTCGTTTCATGGTGGTTAATGCAGCATATAATATAGTGTGAGTGTGTGTGTGTGTGTGTGTGTGCGTGTGTGTGCGTGTGTGTGCGTGTGTGTGCGTGTGCGTGTGCGTGCGTGTGCGTGCGTGTGCGTGCGTGTGCGTGCGTATGCGTGCGTGTGTGTGTGTGTGTGTGAGTGTGCGTGCGTGTGTGTTCCTCCTCCTACTGCTACTGTTGTTGTTGCTGCTGCTACTTACACTGAAAAAAACACCATATCTTAGATTGGTAGGACTATTATATGAAAAAATAAACCCGACATTGATTCAAGCTTTTCCCAGTGCTTTCTTTACGATGTTCACGATGTTGTCGCAAAGTACGGTCTATAACGGCCGACCCGCGATCCGAATCCGAACCTTCTGAGTGCTGTAGCGGAACCCCAGACTCCAGAAGGAAAGAATTATAATTAAATAGAACGAAGGTCCTGGCGATGGATTCTTGAGTGTATTTCCTCGACTGACTGTAGGGTAAATCAGGGGACATATGGGAACACTAGGAAGTACTCAGAGTGGTGGTTCATTTTCATGGCGGCGGGGCGAGTCTATGACTGGGGGAGCGAATGGGAAAATGCATAATTTGATAATCTTTTAGACAAAAAACGCCTTTCACACATCAACATGCGCATGACACAGTTCTCACATAATTATATACGTAGCACATCAGTGTATTCAGTTCTTCGTTAGATAAATAATACCCAGAAGTAATATATCCATATGGCTTCCACAATTTATGTGTGTTATTAACTGTGTTTTGTTGTGGTGGGGCGGGGAGGGGGCGATTTGCTTAAAAAACAGATTACATGTCCATTCGAACTCCGCTAGTTAGGCGTTCATGAGCCCAGGAAAGTCTGTCCTTTACTATACTATACTCCACTATACCGATACAATACTTTTGATAAATCAAGTTCATGGAAACCAACATGTCTACTGTAAGAGGGATACCCATTCTGGTAAAATGAGATATAGTATGATTATAGTATATTTTTATTAATCTGTGTGAACGTGTAAAACCAAATATAAAGCACAATTTTTCAGCAATTTCTGGGTGGGGGGGGAGTGTAAGGTTATGTGAGAGAGGAACCCAAAAGAGGCCACCCGTGAGGCGGGAGGCTTCAGGCTTAGGGGCCAAGGAAAATGAGGGGCCCCGTTCGTGCCTCGAAAAAGGGGGTGAGGGGACCGAGCTGAAGGCTCAGAACCCACACGACCTCACAAGCAACGCAATCCCCGGAGATGCAGGCCTACCAGGAGCGTGACCGATACGAAGATGCATGATAAAAAAAAATACAAGATCTAGAATGAACAAAAAGAACCGTGCAGAAGGCACCAAAGTAAAACAAGTTAATAAGTAAAAGACAATTGCCGGAAGGGCTTAAATATGAATAAAAATACGCCAGAAGGGCTTAAAAGTGAATGAAAATACGCTAGAAGGGCTTAAAAGTGAATGAAAATACGCCAGAAGGGCTTAAGAAAAACTGTAAAGCGTGCCAGAAGGGCTTAAAAACAGTAAAAAGAACTAACATCTACGATAAAACAAGTGAAAGGTAAAATAAGGGAAAAAGTAAAAGCTCAAGTAAAAGACGAGTAAAAGGTATGAGCATGAATAAAAGTAATAAGTAAAAGGACAAGGTAAAAGTAAGTAAAATTCAGAGTAAGTAAAAAGTAAAAGTCGAAGAAGCACACATGGTTCACAGTAAGTAAAATGATAAAAAACACGTCCAGTATAGATACACCTGGGCAAGTAAAAGGGGCAGTACAACCTTGTTTCAGCATCCACGGTGTAGAATCCAGACAGGTAAATCCAAAGGGTAGTCACAACACTGTCAGAGTATCCACTTCCTTTATTTTGTCTAAGCATGGGGGTTACATTGACTTCCGCGGACGGCGGCGTAGCACAAAAATATTGTAAAACAATAAATAAGAATTATTATAATAAAATAAAATATACAAAAGATAATACCAATGATAAAAACAATAAAACGTTAAAAGAAATCAGTCAGGAATTACAGTTATAGTAAAAAAAATACGTAAAAGAATCTGCTGCGATTCATTAATAAAAATCTTAAAATAAATAACCTTCTCTTGCAGTAAAAGTGAAACAAAAAGGATGAATAAGTAAAAAGAAACCATTAAAAAATAAAACGGAATTTAAAATACAAGAGATAAAAAAAAACGTATAAAAAAGATGCAGTCGCAGCAGATGCGGATGTTTGTTATCCGCACATCCGAATCTTTGTAACTTACATGGACACAAAGGATCTCAAAATCTTTATTTAAAAATGTACAAATGGGTGTAAATAAACGTAAAATACATGTAAAAACAATGGCCAGCGTAGTACAAAAATAAAAAGCGTAAGAAAAGAGGCTGGCAGAGGGAAGTGGTCCAGCTGGATTTCGGCAGGATGCTGGGTAGGATAGGGATAGGATGGGAGCAGGAGAGGGTAGGATTAAAGGTAAAGGGTAGGACAAACGGGAGAAAGGGATGGAAAAGGGGGAAATTAGCGTAGAGATAGAAGAAAGTGAAAAAGCGAAGGAACAAGAAGAGAGTGCGAATAAGAGGGGTACGAGGGGAAATGCGGCAGGATACAGGGCAGGATAGGGATAGGATGGAGGGAGGATAGTATAGGGGTAGAGATAAAAGGTAGAACAAGCAAGGAAAACGAGTAAAAGAGGGAGAAACTATCGTGGAAGTAGAAAGAGGGGAGAAAAAGCGAGGGGACAGAAAGAGGGTGCGAATAAGGAGACGAGAGGGATAGAAGGATCGGGGCTAGGAAGGGGGGGGTAGGTGATGGGATATGGGGGGGGGGTTGAAAACCTCACAGGAGATATACTCTCGCCCCTCCAGTTTTCATTCTGGGGTTGGGGGGCGCTCGTTCCTGATTGCAACTCATCACGCGCTGTTCTTTCAGAGAAAGCCTTACAAGAAGAGTTATGTCGTCCTCAACAACGGGGGGCAGCAATATCGTCCCTGCTTGCAAGTCTACGAGGACGACAGGCAGTATATACCGAACAACTGCATGTACATGATCCTGGACCTGGACGTGAAGGAGGCGATGCAGTGGCAAGGGAAGGAGGACTGGGAACTCCACTCCTTCCAGGTGACGCCTCCTCATAGAGCAGCTGAACTTAGCGTGCATTTGTGTGTCTCTCTCTTATATACATACATACATACACACATTTAGTGATGGATAAATAAATTGAGTATATGCATACATACATATACATATAATATATATATATATATATATATATATATATATATATATATATATATATATATATATATATATATATATATATATATATATATATATATATATATATATATATATATATACATACATATATATATATATATATATATATATATATATATATATATATATATATATATTTGTCTCCTTTGAGTTTCATTTTTAACATTTTAAGCATATTTTAGTAAGTTAACGTAAATTTCTAAAAGTAACGTAATTTTAGTATGTATTCTTTTTACCGTCTGAGCCTTCAGCAGTTTTATCACTTCAGTATCTTTTAGTTCTTTTATTCATCGTATTTTGAATGATAGGCTGAGCCACAAGGACTTGCGCATATTTTCTCCGCTCAGGGTACATGTCAAGCCTGCGTAGGATCCTGGGTCAGTGCCCGCTACCATTTTTACAGGCTCAGGATCTGTATAAGTTGTCAGGGGAGTGAACGGGACCCCTATTTGCGTCCCTAAGCCGTTCTCGCTTCACGAGAGGCTTCAGCTCGCTTCACGAGGCTGGGGTTTAAGTCGGGCTCCTCATTAATGATTAACAACCATCCTTACAATATATATATATATATATATATATATATTATATAAATATTTATATATATGCGTGTGTGTGTGTGTGTGTGTGTGTGTGTGTGTATGTATCCATATATATATTATATGTATAATTCATTTATATATATATGTATACAAATTCAAGGATATATGCATATATATATATATATATATATATATATATATATATATATATATAAACAACACACACACACACGCCCACACACACACACGCACACCCACACACGCACGCACAGCCGCACGCGCACGCACACAAACACAAACACACACGCACACTCACACACACACACATCTATCTATGCATATACAATATAAACACACATATGTATGCAATCAATGCATCTGGCATCCATAGAACTGGAGACAGCTATATATGTATACATACATATATATATATATATATATATATATATATATATATATATATATATATATATATATATGTATGTGTATATATATATATATATATATATATATATATATATATATATATATATATATATATATGTATATATTCATGTATATATGTATATATATGTATATTTATGCATATGTATATGTATACATCTATGCATAAGTGGATGTATATAACTTCATAAATATATGTGTGTATGTAGGTATAAATGTATGTTTGTATGTATGAATTTTGGCCGCAACGTGACCTTAATGTGAATCATAACTTCAGATTGTTACCAACGAAGGCACGTGCGTGTTTTCACCTGGCGACAAAGAGGAGATGGACGCGTGGCTCAAGGTGAGTTATATGAGATATTATTATTATTCGTCAAACTATATCATAGTCTTTGCCTTGGAGCCGCAGCGAAGGAACTTACTATTATACAGAGCAAAAGCTAAACAAATTTTTGTTTTTAACAGGACGTCAGGGGGAGCTTAATGTATTCACCGAGCTTCAAGAAATCGACTCAGATGCCCTTGCAAGGAAACTTGCTTTATGAAAATTGTGAAAAGAGTAAGGTCATCAAACGTTTGATACTTATGCTAAGCGGACTTAAAAAGAAATCCTTACCAACAGTTGTTTTAACACTACACATGTTCAGACAGTCGTTTTACCGTTTACCCAGATCAGCCAACGTTTCTGGTGATGCCTGACGCCCTGACATCATCAAGGTTACAAGTGAGTGGTACCGTAGTACTGGCTGTCAGGAGCGAGGGTTTGGCGGTCACTTCAGCCGACGGCCGCCTCATTGCCCCGTTTCACCTAAAGGCCATCCGGAGTTTCGGCTACAGTCTGAACGATTTCAGGTTCTCGACTGGAAGGGCGTGTTGCCTTGGGGAGGGACGCTTCACTTTTCTTACAGAGCAGGTATATATGTTCTACTTTTTTCCTCTCGAATTTAAAAAGTTGTCCATCTATGTACAGTCAGAAAATAAAACTATTGTTACCTTTACTTGAGGTCGAATAAAACCTGAGCGCTATTCTGTATTGTGAGCGGGGCAGCTTGTTAGCCCCTCCCATGGCTAGTGTTGCCATACGACGATCTTAATACAGTATTCAAAGACGAGACTAATGAACCAAATATTTGGAGAGTGCGTTTCGATGACCATGCGTTGTTTTGTCTATGTATTTACATTTTCAATTATCTTTGTCATATCAAAAAATACGTATACATGGGTATAATGTAAGGCGAACCGAACCAGAACGTTTTTTTTCAGTTCAAGATACCAGACCCATTCACACTGCAAAGGTGTTGCCAGTCGGTATTATTCTATTTTTTTCATTTCGCATATAGATAATCAGACTTACGCTTTACTAATTATTAGTGACTCCAGTTTACAAAATACATTGCTTCGGTATTCAACAACACTTGTTCGTGTAAAGGGTAAAGATATTTTTTCTGGCGGTACAGTACATGAGACACACTACATATAGGCCTAATTTTAATATGAAATACTCTAAGACATTTGCATAGTTTTATTAGCTTTGTTATTTTCAAGATGGCGGTCTTCCAACAGGGGAAAGAAATCGTATACTATATCGAAGAAACAAAGAAAGAGTACAAAACCGGCGTCATTTCTCCCTCTGCAACGAAGTCTCCCAAAAGCGACACGACAGAACACACATACGAGGAACTCACTTACATGCCCTTCCCTTTTTCCGATGGCCAACGCTCTAGTTCCTTGAGTTCGCCTGATCCTGTAGCTCCCAGCATGGCGACGGGAACTACAGCGCCCGCCCGAGGAGGAAGCTCTTTACTCAGGGAGCACGAGTGGCAGATCAAGACCATGATGGTGCTGGAGTTCGCCAAGGAGTTCTGCAACGGCGACAGCAGGCGTTATTGCGAGATCCTCAATAAATTTCTGGAAAGGCAAGGACTGACACCATTCGTGTGGGACTGTTAACAGGGCATTCTCAGGAGGCGGGGTAACCAATGGGCGCTGTAAGCGTAAGGCGTTGTGAGGTTCTTCATCACCGCTGCCATCATATGTAAGCGTAAGCGACCACCGCAAGCCACTAGAGGTAAGCGTAACAGAGATGGTCTTTGGGCGGTCAATGAAAGGGGTCATAACTTGCTGGTTTATTTCTGAAGATAGATATGAGACCCCCGAGAGACCCCCGTGTGGAGGACGAGGTGGTGGAGCTGGACCCTGTGTGGCCTGTCTACCGTGTCTGTCTGTGTCTCCCTCGTCTTAGACGCGTGCCCTTTTATGCGGCGGTTTCCTTGGAGGGCGGATGTTTATCCTGTGCGAAAAGAGAAAGGAAGGCAGCACCTGCATCCTGCGCAAGGAGAAAGGCATTTGCTTGGACCGAGGTGTGAATCTGCCATCCGGTCTTGCTACGTATTATTCACAGGCGCCCGAAGGCAGCCTCGGCCAAGGACATCTCCAGCAACCCTTTCTAGATGAAGTGAATAACAATTATTGAAAGAATTTTAATTACAGACTCACACTCACCCACACAC